TCAAATTTTTCAGGCGGAAATTTCCGGAGGTCATGTGATATTCCGTAAATCGACGCCTAATTAAATTTCCTGATGTAGTTGGAGGAGTTCAACAGGTCTGCGAAGATAAATTAATATAATAACGAATATAAGTTTCGCATAATCAATGGATACCTGCAGGGAGCAGCTGGACAGTGGTTTAATAAAATTCAAGAAGAACGAAATCCTATCATCTGCTGAAATGACCAAAATCACATATCATTTGAACCTTCCTTTATGACTATCTTCAAGACCACTGTCTTAATAAATCAGTGGAGATTTGAGTTGCAGATAAAGATTCAAAACTTGAGCAAAATTATGAAGTGGTATTCAAACAATATCAAGAAACTAATAAAGAAGATTGATAGTGAAAACAAGTGGAGTGAGGATGAAAAAGTCTGTCAGTTTTTAAAAAGGCTATGAAAAGATATTGCCTATCAAGTATGATCACTTATTTTATTTCAAGAGAATTCCACCTTGGAAACATCAATTAAAATCACAAGACGGTTTGAAGAAAATACCTAAACCTATCTTGAAGACATAGCCGAATACAGTATTATCGTATCCACAGGTATACAGAAATTTGTATCTAAACAAAATAGAGATAACGAAAAAGAAAATAGATAGAACGGATAGTGCAGAAGGCTCTAGTCTCGATAGCTGAGACGCTACAAAGAATCATGAAAAAAGAAAGTAAGATGACAAATACATATTACAGGAGGCCAAATTACAAAAATGATAACAGGAAACAAAACGCAAGAAACTGAAACAACACTAATGACCCGTTTCGCTGTTTTACTTACAGTCAGGTGGAGTATATATTGTGAGGATATCCAATGAGAACAGAATACCAAAGGAATCCTAATACTCTCCTTATTTAAGGACCAACCAGAACCCAAAACAATGCCACAACAAATCAACCTATACCTCAAGTATCCCAAAATGGTACAAGTAGTAACACATTCATCACCCAAGAAAAAGAAGTCAGATAGCCTATTGCAACTAACTAGAATGAATCACAATATTTAAAATACTAATCAAACTTCTGAAGGGTGAATATGCGAATAAGACAAATCCCTCGTTTAAAACTAGTGAAGAAATAACAGAAGGTTTTAAATTTATAAGTAAAGCAGTGACACAACCCATCGCTAAGAGACTACACTCAAGAAAGGGTAAAGAGATATTCGAAGAGCCTAAACAAAAGAAGAAAAAGGTACTTCCGTTGTTACTAGTTGACCTTTTGAACTAATTTTATTTTTCAAAAGGCAATTTACAACTAGCAACTTGTAAACAGTTGCTTTAGTTTACGAATGGAAGAGGATAATGGATGAAGAATAAAAGAAATATTAAAGTTAAATACTAAAAACTAATTAAAAGACTTAAGAATTTAGGGTCTCGGGATTTAAACTATTAACTAATGATTTAATTTTAAAGGTCGAGTTAAGAATTTTAGACAAAGAATTAAATATATTTATTAATGGTTTATAAAATAATAATAGAAATTTATGAATCAGAATTTATATTCAAAGAATATAAATTAATAAAGAGAACAGAGTTTTAATATAAAAGGTATAAGTTTATTACGAAGAAAATCAATAATCCAATTACTTTAGGATTATAAAA